AGCCAGAAGTTTCTGAAAATCATCAGTTGGAAGTCATATGTATAAATGTCTTTGTATAGCTTCCACTAATATAGACAACAATGTAAAGACTATCTAATGAAATGAGAAAAAAGTTTTCTCTTACTTCAGATGCATGTTTTACATGTATGCGATTTTACATTAGTGTTTGTCACTATTTTCTTCTCACTTCATCCTTTTGATATTGATCATCTGCTTTTGATCTCACACACAGCATAATGACTTTGTTTTCACAATGTCCTGGGTGGAGATTTAATGCAAACTATTTTTTTTTTTGCCCTGTAAGAGGCTGCTTACTGTCAACACAGAAGCCAAACTGAGCAGAAACTGGTTACTTATTTGACAAGAGGGAAATAAACATCAAATTGAGCACAAAGCAACCTTTTCTGATTTGTGCAATCAAAAAGATCCTGCTGCACCTCATGGGGAAACAAACTCTTGAATGTTTAGAAAAAAATAGAAACTTAAACAGCAATAGTAATAGTTGTAAGAGTTGATCTTTCCATTAATTTGGCCAATTTTATAATAAATAGTTGTTTGTATTTTTTATAAATGATAAAGCAGCATTTTTAGAACATATTAATTCTTTTAATAGTACAGACTGAAGATTTCTATTAAAAGATGGGGTGTGTTCTGCCTTGCAAGACAGTAAAGTAAGTCACCCATATATGTCAAACTGCAGCTTTACAAGCCCACAATGTACTTTCTCACTTATTTTGAAATAGATGTTTTTGTGTTGCAGACTATAATTCTCAATTCCTGTTGGCCAACCCCATATGCATCTGACATTATTTGTTTAGTAGCACTCGGCACACTGAACAGGGTAGGTCTGTTCTGCTGAAGACTTTATTATCCATCTGCCAAAAAGCACGGCTGTGATATAATTCATTTTATTTACCCTAAAACAACACAAACAACAAAAAATTCACTTCTCATGGGTATGCAGTGTTATGAGGGGAAAACAAATAATTTGACACTTCATCTTTCAATGTCTTCTGCCAGGACTCAGGAAAAAAATATGTAGATATAATCCTTTCATTAGAAACAGTATACAAACCTTGTATTTCTTTCCTGAACATAAAGCACCAAGGAGACATCCCAGCATTTTGAGTATATTTGTTTCCCAGATACAATTAAACTGTTTATATAACTTCTTTATCTTGTAAAACCTTTTAAGTTACAGATTGTAGCGTGGTTTTTTTTGTTTGTTTGTTTTTAGTTGTTGTTTTTTGTTTTTTCTAGTTTTTATTTAGGGGGGCTTTTTATTTCTATCAGCCTAAAATGATGTATTTAGGGGTTATTTTTATATTATTGGCAGGTAAACAGCTTCCTCAGTATATAAAATACTCAACAAAAAACATATCCTTGCCCTTCAAAAACTGTTCCACAGACTACAGCGTGCATATGTGTATGTATATATGCTTGCATGCAGAAAGGAGTGGGAAATTAAGGGGAAGAAGCTGAATAACAATGCTTTCAGGAAGCAGAGGTTGGAAAGAAACATGTCTTTAAATAGTGCATACAGTTGTACCTTCCTTTCCATAATTTAGACAAAACAAAACTGAAGGCAAATGGGAAGGTAAGCATGGTGTATCAATATTTATGCTTCTTGGCATTTATAAAACGGCAAAGTCCTATGCAAATAGTTCAGCTGCATAAAGGAAACATTGCTTTCTGCACATCTTGCTTTAAGTCACATGCTCCAAAATAAAGATTTCAGGAGTATACTAACCTTTTCAAATTTTTATTTTATTTAGAAAGCTGTCATTCACAAGGCCTCAACTCAAAAAGTCCTGCTTTAGTGACGGTGCATATTATTTATTGCATGTACTAGCTATGAATATATTATTTCAAAAATGCTTAAAATTGGCTGAAAAATCTACAAGCATTCCCTTCCTCCTCCGGTACAGCAATCAATTCCTGCTCAGTAATTTCTGAAATGAAATTGCTGAAATGAAGCAAGTAACACATTTTTCTTTAAGCTGACATAGATAGCTATTAAATTTCAGCTCTTTGCTATATTCATAAACAATAGCTTAAAAATAACGTCTTCTACAAATTCTGGATAGTTCTGCATGGACAATTTTCAGTTCTGTCAAGTGAAGCCAAAGCAATATTCCACTGTCATGTTTACAGCCATCTGTGTAGATGCAAAGTCAAGTTTGGACAGCTTTGATCTGGTAAGGTGCAGACATTTTGATGTGAAGGATGGCTACCTCAGTTTGAAAGCACAAATGGATTAAAATACTCCATAGGCTGGGAAGAAACAGTCAGAAAGGTAAGGCCCATTTCAAATTAAGTTTTCTACATACCAGCTGACAGTAATTAAACAGCAGCAGCCATATTTGGAAAGAGTATACCTGCCACTATCTAATTCATGTTCATATCCTGTGATGACAGCTCAATAAAATAAAAGAAATACAATCCTGTCCCCTGCCCCCCAGATACCTTGAAAATCTAAAAACTCTTTTAATGGACAGGTAAACCACACTTAAAAAGTATATATGCACCAAAACTTCATAAAAATATTTTCCGAATTCAATGGCCAAATTATCATTTCTATCATCATTTCACATAGCTAATCCTGGGAGAAGTGAGTATGCCAGCATCATTAGTTCAAAAGTAACAACCAAAACATAGATTCGGAACAGAGTAAAATGATAAAAATGATAAATATCATCTACGTGATTGTGAGGGTAGGAAACTGTGGGCTTTTAATTCCTTTAATAAAGTGTAAGAGCACATCTTTGAAGCTCTTCAAAGCTTGTAAGATGTCTGAATGAATGTTAAGCTTTACCGTTCTCTTAGTAGGTAGTAGATAATAAACAGCCTTCATTTTGGTTTAAAAATTAAAATCTGTGATACAGAAAAAGCATGAAGACCTTGAAAGTGAATTATTAAATAGAAACCTGGCAGGTTTGCTCTCAATCTGCTGGAATTTAACAAAAACAAAAGAAAAAAATACATTAAAAAAAGATTTCCTTTAGGAAAGAAACATCTAATTCTCCTCCTTGAAATTTTCAATTTCAAGAGAGATATAGGGAAAGTTTTTTTTTAAATTATGCCTCACTTAACTCTGTGGAAACTCTATAGCTTAACTATTTCCAAATGAGACATGAATCAAATGTGCCTTGAAGGAAAAACGATCTGCTTTCTTGTTATCATGGGATTACTACAGTTTTGCAGAGTTGCAGTTTTAATTGAAAAACATCATTTTCCATAATATCACTTGTGTGCAGAGATTAGATTTGAATTACCATCCAAAATTTCCTGTTGTTATTGTAATTTTAATTCACTGTTTGACAGGTAGGAACCTGAGTATGTGGCACCAGCTATACAAATTAAAGAAGTCACTCTCTGGATATTTCTTTTTAAGATAAATTACCTGAGGATATTTTTCATGACCAGGAATTGGATTCTCAATGCCTAACTACCTGTCTTCAGTAGAGAAAAACTCAAAAAGCTACATCTTCTACCCATAGTTTTGCCAGTTCCATAGTGATGTTACACTTCAGTCTCTATTGGTATAAAAATTTCTCAATACAGTACACAACTCCAAACATGTATCGTGTTGTGAGAGTGCCTGGACAATGGAAAATGGCAAGGGCTTGGGGCTCAGTTTCAAATTTATCATCTAGAAGCACATTCCAAAGTGGCTGACTAACATTATCTGTCTCTTCTTCCTTTAACTAAATACAACCATGGGGAAAACAGCATAATGTGCTCACTTCCATTTTCATCCAACGCCCTACAATCTTTATTTTATTTATTGAAATTTCCCCCTTATATGTAATGTACAGAGGAAAGTTATTTTGCACTGCCACCACTGCAGGAGCTTTTTAAATGATTCAAGGAAGTATAGCTTTCATTTAGGTTTGTGCCCTCCAGTCTGTTTATACTGGTCGATACACTTGTCTGAAAAATATAATGGATTAGCACATCATTCAACAAACTAGTCAGAAGGCAAGCTCAAGGCGACAGAGACCAAAAAGTAAATTACAGCCAGGAGTAGGGACAGGCCATGCCTACAGCTAGGAAATATCATATCAGTACAAAACCTGTGAGAATGTTACTTGATCTGAAATGGATGAAAAATTTACACTGAAATGTAATAAAACAATCAACTCCATGATTTCATACAGAACTGTAAATTATACAGTTTATAGTATCTAATGCAAAAACTGTTTCTCACAAGCAGTCCATGGTGCAGTCACACCTCCGATCAACAACTGGCATTTTTGCTGTTTAATCTAAAAAGACTGTTTCAAATTTGATACTTTTTATATCAGAGCTTATTTAACACATTTAAATATGTGCACAACGTAATACACCAAAAAGCATATTGTGAAAAGCAGTGAAAATAAGGTAAAACAAAAATGAAGGTAAAAGAAACAGATCCTGATATGTAATACAACCTTGAAATTCAGAAGTCATTATGGAGGGCTATTTTTCTTTTTGAACCACCAGAAATTAATCAGAAATCTGAAGACAAAGACTTTTATTTTACTTCTACTGTAAAACTTGGTTATTTGCAAGAGATACTTTAGTTCTGTGTTACATGAATCCATTCTCATTTACAAAGAAAAAACAATGCTAATTATTAAAAATAGGAGACAGAGGACATCACATCCTTCTGAAAACATTTCAGAAAATTAACATATTGGATGAAATTCACTGTTGAGGCAGATCTTCTAACTCAAATGGAGGCACATCTAGAAAAGTTCTCTGTGGCATGCTATGAGCTAGAAATCACACAGTATCTCCATTAAATAAAATCTTGAAAACAGCTTCAGATAACTTAGAAAATCACAGAATCACAGAATCAATAACATTGGAATGACCACTAAGATCATCTAGTCCAATCATCAAGCCATCACCACCATAATACTTAAACCATGTTACTCAGCGTGACATCACTCCTTGTCTCAAAAAACTCCAGAGATAGTGACTCCACCACATCCCCGTGCAACCTATTCCAATACCTTTCCCTCTTCAGGAGAAGACGTTTTTCCTAATAACCAGCCTAAACCTCTTAAAGCCGTTACCTCTTGTCCTACCATCCTATCATCTTATCGTCCCAAAATGTACCAGCAGGAAGAATGAGAAACTCTACACACAACTTGATTTCCAAAGACAAGTACCTGCAAGAGATGATCTTGCCTCCAGAACAGAAACCAGCACTGCCACTCTTTTTTCTCCACTTCCACTTATTAATGTTTATGAAGCAAGTAGTTTTGCCTTACTTCTGCTACTTTTAGCTGTGCTTCTATTTTAAACACGGCTGTAGGTATTAGGAAAGATAACATCAGTGTCTCAGATTTCCTTCATGACCATATCCCTGTTTTATTAATTCACATGAGGAACAGAAGCATATAATTTCTGGACCTCAGTTTTGCCTATTATCCCTCAGGACTTAGAGTGAACTTTGGGTAGCTTTTCTAGGAGAAGAGAGAATATATCATGGAGCACTGCTATTTGAAGGGAACTCCTGCTCTACTTAATTCATGCTTGTTGCTCACAGTGGAGCCAAAAGAGTAAATGGAAAACAAGTGTTTATATTTAGGATCAGTGATTGTTTAATCTAGGTTATTCCTGCTCAGAGACTGTGTCAAGCCTTCACCTCATGAGAAAAGTTTTGTTACTCTGAAGATGAAGCGAAGTGGATTTGGACTCAGTTCTCTGCATCTGTGAAGTATAAATCTTAATCGCCTGAGGGGAGGGGTGTCAAAGCTGATCCTTTCCAGGTTGTGTGTACACTGCACTGATAATCAGGTTTCTATTTTGGTAATTAGCTGATTTGCAAAACTACATTTGCAATGGGATGTGTCTCTTTCTCATTTGTGTACTCTTATGTGGTATATCTGGGACAGTAATTTATAGAAACATCAAAACTTTCCTTGTTTAGGCAAAGATCCTAATTTTAAAATATAATCCAATATCACAGCTGAGGCTACAATGTTCAAATATGCTGAGCTTTCAGGTCAATATGAAATCTGTCTGCTCTCCTGGCTTGAGGCCAACAAGAGAGTAGTGGGTTTTAACACGTTCTTCCCTGTTTTGTTTGTTTCTTAGGTAGGGGCTATGTTTCAATGCCAAGTACTATTTTAAATCTCTAGTTAAGGTCTCTAAAATTCAGATGTTTTAAACACACCAAGACATACTTGACTAATTCCTTTCAGTATAACAAATCAAATAAATACTGAGCCCCATTTCCCATTTTCACAAACACATGTAGTTTCAGTTTTGACTGACCAAACAGTCAAGCAGACACATTGACCTATGCATTAATTCTAGGTTTTTATAGAGGTAAATTTGAAATACAGAAACAAAACAAAATTGTAAAACACTGTATCGGAGCACTGATGAAGTAATTTAAATATTTTAAGTGCATGTTTTTGGTCTTCAGCTTTCTCTCCTGAACTTTTGCATTTGTTGAGACTGCCACTGATTTTAATGAGAGGCAACACAGTTCAAAAGTCTATGCTCCAATCCCTCAAAGATTTAATTGAACAGCTTTATACACATCATTAATTTCATAGCTTTCAATGAGAATTGTTGTGTGCACATTTGCAGGATCCAAACCTTTGTTATAACATATTCATCCTTTCTTCTATTCATACTCTATTTCATTACAAGTATGATTTGCAGTATCACCTTTTGTTATTACTGCTTAATAGTTGCCATTCAGAAAACTGCTTTCAGTTTCTTGTCCCATTGTCAGATTTACCACTATTCTGAATTAAATTTTACAGGATATACATCTGTTTCAGACTAAATAATTTAGAAAATTTCAGCTAAGCCTCAACCTAGACACAACAGTATTTTTTTTTTCACTCATGTTAAAACAATAAGGTTTTCTCTGAGCAGCCATCACATCCCATTTCTATCAGAAAATGGATTTGAAACTGGCAGATGGGGTTGCTTTTATATGAGGAAGATGCTATTTGCCATCCCAGGAAAAGTCTACTTAAATTTATCCAAGTCATATGCCCCTGAACGAGTAACTGCTATTTAAAATAGGCCAACACAAGCATTTTCTCAATTTTCTCCCACAATCTACAATGCTTCATGGTTATGAAAATGGGCCAAGGGCATGACCTGTATGGTGACCCCCAGTGATTCCAGCATTGGTGTGATACCCACCAGAATGATGCAGTATCACACTCCTTTTCTATTCTTGGATCATTCAAGATGTGAGTACCTGAATGAACTGATATCTACATATGGTATGTGGAGAAGAAACTACTGATCTGTGATGGGAACACATACTGCTGTCAGACCTAAGTATGAGAGAGGGGCCAAATGAATGAATACAAAGATCTGTCCAGAGGGATTTTAATTTCAATGGCCAAATCTCATTATAATCCATCCTTGGCAAACAGACTTCAGCCTTTAACAGCCAATCCCACTAAACACACTGCATCATACCCCAGACTAAAATTAAACATGCTTCAACCTATCAGAGCTTTTCAGGATGCACATGTCCCTAAATCAGTTAACAAACATATGTGCTGAGTACCATAATGCAGCTGCAGGACATATCTTATTTCTTAGTATTCCAGTGCAGTGTAGGACAGAAGTAAAGAACTTGTCAGCATTTAGAGTGCCCTTTAAAGCATACAGATGCATACAGATTAACATACATACAGAGATATTACATGTGAATATAAGAGGGCTGCTCAGAAAATAATGCCTCTTATTTTATTATGTTGGTTCACGATGTCAGAGGCAGATGTTGGTGGTATGGTAGTTAGAGGTTCAAACTTCCCTCTAATACTCTGTTACATTTTGTTGCTGGGTGACAAATGGTAGCGGAGGGGCAGTCAGACAAAATGGCATCTGACATATAAGTATGCAGCAAAGGTGTGTCATTTAATTTCTCCATGCAGAAAAAATAGCAGGCATTGACATTCATCAATACTAGCTGAACATTTATGGAGGCCAAACAGTGGTTGTGAGCACAGCCAAGCGGTGGGTGATGCATTTTAGCAGTGGCAACAGTGATCACCTCCTTTGGTGCAGATTTTGATGAGCAAAGCATGCAGGCACACTGCTGGCGAAAATGCATAGCTAATAGTGGTGGCTGTGTTGAAAAACTGTGCTTTATAGTCATAATTAGTGTTGTTGTGCTCTGTGTATCTGTTGTAGATTCAAAAAAAAAATAATAAATAGGAGGCATTACTTTTGGAGTGACCTACATAAGTATGCATGCACACAAAATCACTCAGACACATACAACCACCACCCAAAGACAACTGTTAACACAAAATGCTTTAGTCTCCCAGATATTGAGCTAAGTGTATACAGTATTGCATCCTGAATTTTGTCATACTCACAGAATTATTGCCCCTCTCCTCCTTCCACCCCCTGCCCCAAAATTACTTCTATCTTGTTCTTGTAATAAGTACCACAGTTTGTATTTAGGGCTAATCATCCATTGTTATCCTCTGTTCACATTTTTAAAAAGGTTACAGATTTTATTGTTAAATTTTGAAAGGTGAAAAATATCTATTCCTTATGAACAATGTATTGCAAAATGAGATTCACATAGTCACTGATCTCATTAAAAGTTAAAACTGTGTCTTCTTAGCATTAGTGAGGAATAAAAGGGTAAGAATGAGGTGTCTATGAGAACTATAGCTATTGACATCATTGACCTATAAATACGTCCTCTTCAAGTTGATATACAGGAATTCATTATCCCTGTTTTGATATAATTGCTAATACCGAAAGCCCTTTGCTTCCAAGTGTTAATACAATTGCAGTTCATATTTCAGATTATCTGTCAAAAAGAAAAACTAATTTCTAAATATTTGATCACAAAAGTTTTCTTTATATTCTTTTTAATTTAGTCAAATAATATCAGATAATCTTAAAGCAGATTTAACAGGAAATTGCTAGGGACTCCATCTAAGTAGCATCCATTTGCACTTAGATAAATGTACTGAATGTGTAGGAAGACTTTGACAGCTTGCCATATGTGATTTCATTCTGCAGCCTACCTACTTTACCATCAAAAGTTATATCCTTTGAAGCACTGCCAGAATTGCTTTAGCCCAGTAGATATGCTAGATGTGCCCTTTAAAAGCCATATCATTTCCTTTCTACTCTATGTTCAATGTAGCATCTGCTCAACTAAATTCCTTTGAAGGTTAAAACCAAAAAAACCCCTGTAGTACAGCTTACTAACATGTCCAGTGCTGAATGAAGACCATGGATGCAAGAGAATAAATTTGAGTTAAACGAGACTATAAAACAGAATCATAAAATTACCAGCTATCATGGGAATATTATAATTATACACACACAGGATAAATATTTGCATTTCAGGATAGGTAAGCATTTTATTTAAAATAATAATAATCCCCGAATTTTATATTTCCATTATGTTGCTTGTTTATATGCAAATGCTGATACTCCTGTGACATGGGTGCTAATGCCATAATAAAACATCACACATAAACAACTTGATTCAAAATAGCAAATGTAAGTATGTATATATAAGCTTTTAAATCTTTGCTTTTTTTTTTTTTTTTTAAACAATTATTTTAGAAGTCTCTCTGTTATTTTCACAGCACCCTTGTAGGTGTTCTAGAGAATAATGAAGAGATAGTTCACTTCATCTAGTATAAAAGAGCAGTTGTAACATTTTAGAAATAATTTCAGTTTAGCTTCCTTAACTTCTACAAATACTATTTACAATTAAAGGTCTATGATTTTACAAAAGAGATGAATGATTTCCAATAATTACATGATTTTTTCTGTCTGCTTGATTGAAAAGGTTTCAAAACATATTAAAATGGTAGTGTCCCTTCCTAGCCTCTTGAAATTCTGCAATATCAATTTTAATTAACAAGCCATAAAAGTTACATTTTTATATCAGGGATCTTATTTTTTTCCATTAATTTTACTGTTTCATATGAATTTGCATCCTTACTGGGGAAACTGCTGACTTTGTTAATCTGCAAGGATTTATCAAGAATGTCCATCACTGTTCAAATTAGGTACAGCATTAACATGCTTATACCATTTAAATGGCTCATGATGGTGACACAGTGAG